TCTGTGCTTGAGAATCTTTTCTATCTCATATTCTGATTCATTGTTTTCCACTTCTGCTGTATTGTCTGTTGGTATTTCCTGTGCTGCTGGTTCCAGCAGTAAGATGTGGAAAACTGAGTATATCCTTATTCTATGAGGTAATGCTAATTCGTAGTTAATCAGAGAAATCTGTTGCAAGATTTTGAATGATTCCAACTTTTTGTAGTTGAGTTTATTGCTGGGTCTGGTTGTTTTGATATTTTTTCGAAATAGGTAAGCCTTATCTTTCTTCTGTAGGATTGGTTCCTCAATTCTTTTGGAGTTTGCATATCGCGTTATTTGTTCTTGAATGAATTGTAATTCTGATCGGAGTTTCTCTTGAACTTTCTTGATCTTCTTAACTCTTTTATTTGCAGCTTCTGCATCTGCTTCTGGCAATGCTTTGTAATAAGCTGTTGGATTGTATTTATAGAGTATGAAGAATGGTGATTTCTTCGTTATACTTGTATCTGCGCTATTATAAGCGAACTGTGCGAGGAGCAACAGGTCAATTCAGTTGTCCTATTTCTGGTTGATATAGTATCGAAGATACTGTTTGATAATCTGATTTATTCTTTCTATCTATTTATCTGTTTGCAGATGGAATGCTATGGATATTCTGTAGTATGTTTCGAGCTGTTTTATAAGTAAAGTTCAAAATTTCGAGTTGAACTTTCTATCTCTGTTAGAGATTACTTCTTCTAGCATACTATAGTTAGTAATGATTATTCTGAGGAATGCATATGCGAGTTCTTCTGCTGTACTGCTTTTCTTGTAAGGGAGAAAGTAAGTATACTTGCTCAGTCTGCAAACTACTACTAAAATGCTATTATATTGTATCTTAGTTAAGAGTTCTTGTGAGAGAGATAGCTTGGTAATGAAGTCTAGATTGATGGATTGCTAAATAGTTGTAGATACTGGTAAGAGGTGTAGTAGTTCGTAAAGCTTGTATCTTTCTGCTTTATTCTTCTTGCAGCTGTTGCATTATTGTAGGATGCTCTCAATTCTTTTCCTAAGATCTGGTAAGTTCTAATATCTTTTGATACATTCATAAGTTGCTCTGACTCTCTGGTGCTCGTATGCTGGTACATTGTATATATCCTTGATGTAATTATCTTATTCATCCGGAGTCATTGATTCTGAATTCCTTTCCGAGGATCCAATTCTGAGAGCAGCATTCAGTTCTCTATATATGTTAATAAGATTCTCTAACTTGTCTTGAGCGAAGATGTTCTGTATATCCGAAGAATCTGCATCTTAATGATCTGATCTTCTGCTGAGAGCGTCTGCTCGTCTGTTTTCTGAGTCTTTGCAGTATACGATCTTGAAGTCGAACTGTAAGAGGAATTCTGCCTATCTAACTTATTGCTTATTCAAAACCTTGATTATTATGAATGTAATCAGATTCTTATAATCCAAGTAAACTATGATCGGGTGTTGTACGCTAATGAGATAGTATTGCTATTCCTCGAAAGCTTTTACTATTACCATAAGTTCCTGATCAGAGATCCTGTAGTTGATTTCCAAGCTATTCAACTTCTTTGAGAAGTTGCTTATAATCCTTAGACATTCTTAGTTGTCTTGCTAGCCAAGTTGTTCTCCGAGTGCATATTCTGATGCATCAGTTTCAACTTCAAAGGATTTGTAGGAGTCTGCTTTATACAGAATTAGCTCTGAAATAATATGCCTGATGATCTCATCGAAGGCTTCTTGCATCTTGGAGTTCCACTTGAAGAGCTGCTTCTTTTTGGTAAGATTTGTAAGAGAATATGCGATTCAGCTGTAGTTCTTAATAAACTGCTTGTAGAAGTTGATGTATCCGAGGAAAGATCTAATATCCCTAATATTCCTGAGAACTAGCCAATTCCTGATAGCTTCTATCTTGTTTTTCTGTAGCTTAATGCATCCTAGCTTGATTGTGAATCTGAAGTAGTCAACCTTTTGTTCGTAAAAGTAACTCTTTGCAGGTTTCATAAGGAGTTTTGCATCTTGGAGCATCTGCAGCACTGTTTCCACATATTCCTTATATTCTTTAAGTATTTGAGAGTAAATAAGAATATTATTAAGATATGCGATAACGAACTGATCCAGATACTTGCGTAGAACGTGATTGATTATCTTCTGGAACGAAGCTGGGGCGTTCGTTAAGCTGAAGAGCATAATCAAATATTCGTAATGTTTATAGCGCATTCTGAAAGCAGTTTTCCATTCTTCTCCTTCCTTTACTCTGATCAGGTTATAAGCTTCTTTTAGGTTTAGAACTGTAAACTATTGTGCTTCTTGCAACCTATCTCGTAGTTCCTTGATAAGTAGCAACAGGTATCAGTTCTTAATCATAATATCATTAAATTGCCTGTAATCAATACATAGCCTGAGCTTGCTGTTTTTCTTAGGTACAAACAGAATAGGATATCCTGCTAGTAATCGCAATGATCGTATATATCCTTTCTTAAAGTTCTCGTCGAGGTACTCCCGAAGTGCCTCTAGCCGTACCTTATCTAATCTGTAGATAGGGAAGAATTTGAGCTGTTTCTCTTCTTGTAGCAGGATCTCGTAGTTGTATGAGCTGTATTCTGGCAATCCTGTATCCAATTCTTTCTGAAACAGTTTCTTAAACTTGTAATATTCTCGTAATATGTTTGCAAGTGTTGATTCTGATCCTTGTGCTGTTTCTGCTATCTGGAGAAACAGTAGATACTGTTGAGCGTGCTTCTTTTCATTCGTTGTTTTTGGTAACGTTTTTGAGAGCTTTGAGCGTTCGCTCCGAGCTGAACCGAGCGCTCGAGAGCCTGGTTTCGAGGTTTTTCCCGTATGGATCCACAATCCACTTTCTAAAGCCTTTCCTTGTTGCTCCGGAGCAAACCGACTTGCTGAGGATCTCGCTTCCGTTGTTTTGCTAACCTGTTGGCGCCCTGGTACTGTTTGGGTTCGCCTATCACTAGATCCTTCTCCTTGAACTGCCAGCCCTGCTGACTTGAAAGTATGTATAAAGTTGTATGAAGCTTCTTTTTCTGAGTATTCTTCAATCACTAGCTTCGATCCTGCGCTGTTGATTATAACTATCTCTCTGGATACAGCTTGTTCTCATGAGATCTAGCTAGTAGCCCAATCGATTCAAGAATTGTATTCTTTGAGCTATAGAAGCTTCATAATTAGCTCATATTATGCTATATCCGTGATATTAAAAGAAGCTCTGATTATGCATCCTTGAATCAAAACAGATAGATGATCAGTCTTCTTATCGATTACTCCTTAGTTATATGCAACAGGTTGTTCTTCTACAGTGCTAAGGATATATGAGCGTCTCTTCTATCTCCATTGTAGTTATGCCTGATTAACGATGTATGGGGATATGAAGTTTCTCTGAGCGCTACTATCCAATAGTGCGCTGTATTTATATTCTTGAATGTATATATCGAACTTGATGTAAGCATAATCTGTCTTAAAAGCTCTACATAAAGACCATTCCAGTCTGATCATCTGCAGTTCTTTTACAAGCGATCCTATTCTTTTGAATTTATCGAGAACTGCTTATCCTTCTAAGCCTGCTTCGCTGCTTCTTGAGCAAGCTTCTTAGCTTATTTTTGCTTATATTATCGTTATTCCTAGTCTTTCTTCTGTTAATGCTAATCGCAAACTTTGTTATTGATATGAATCGTGCAGAGTGTTGTTTTGCACTGCTATCATTTTATCTTCTTGTTTATATATTGCATGGGGCAATCATCTGGTAGCTCGATGTATGCGTTGTAATGTTGTTTATTGAAAACCTCCCTGAAGCGGAGTTCCTGTTCTTCAACAGCCTGAAGGATTTGCTCTAGTTCTCTGATGAAGAACTATTCGTGCTGTACCTTATCCGAGAAATGCGTTCTACAGCTATGATAGATGCAGGAGATCCAAGCTAATTCGTAATGTAGATTGTAAAGTAAGCTGATTCGAGAGTCCTTATCTTCTTATATTTCGATATTCTGCAAAGGGATGCAGATGAAGAGCTCCTCTAGTTCTATCCTATAGATGAGATACTCAATCTATATTGTTTTCTTGTTCCACCCAATGCTGAAGGAGAATCTTTCTTTAAGCTTGTTGAGCATGTTATTCGCGGAGAGCTTCTGCGAGCTGCTAGGTTGTTTGCTCTAGCTTAATCTTTCTGTTGCCTGAGAAGCGTTCTCTATATCGCCTAGATGTTCGTACTAGTAGCCAAGAGGGTACCATCCCTTATCCATATCCCTGATCATAGTGCTTGGCATAAGCAATAAAGAATGTTGAAGAGTATTGTTGCTAAGCCCTTCTTCCAACACCTGGATGCTCTGTTCCACGATATCAGAGCAGTCCGAGTTGCTACTCGTGGGAGTGCTGAGCGTGCATCCTCGTCCTGCTGTTGCTATTTGTCTGCAGCGCCTAGGTTTCTAAGGGAACCATTCTGAACCTTTCTTACTCGAGAGGTGTATTAAGCAGTTATCATTATAGCAGAATGTTCAGCTGAGACTTCTGTAGTTAATAGAGTTCGATACTTGCTCCAAGAGAGTGTTTTTGCTTAGTTGATTGGATTCCTGTTATCAAGCAATATTTACCTGGCATCCTTCCTGAACTAGTTGCTACTTGTTCTTCCAGGATTGATAGCAGTTGCATGCAATGTATTCTTGTTTATTGCAGTTGTAGCAAGTGATACTGTTCTTCTTGCTATACTGCTTGTTAGCTGCATCGAGTTCTATAGGATTAGCATGCATAGTGCCGCTCTGAGCTGTACTGCTATATCGACTGCTATTCTTGTTTTGGAGTTTCTTGTCCGTATTAGCTGAAAATCTTCAAATCTAGCTTCCTTCCTTCTTGAACTTCTCCATCTATCGTTCGTATAGATGGTTGTTGATGTAAATAGCTTGATTGAAGAATGTTGCAAAGTTCTCCAGCTAATTCTGCTTGGAGATTTCATCTTTAATATTATTCTTGAATTTCTTGTAATAATATTCCATAAGATTCTTATCTTCTCACGGAAGTTGTGCTAAGAGTTGCTTGAATCTGACTATATAAGCAGAAGCCGACTTGATCTGTCTGAGATCCATAAGCTGCTGAGCTGTAATGCATTCTTCGTTAGGGTTACCAAAGATTTCTTTGAGAGCTTTCTCGAAGCTTTTAAAAGAATCGAATATATCCTTAGTACCCTGGATATACGCGCTGGGATTGTTCTAATGCTCCAAGTGATTGCGCAGAGAAGATTTGTACTAGATAAGAGCATTCTTTTCGAAACGAGTTCCTGCCAGAATAACTTTCTCAGATTTCATAATAAACTGGATTGTATAATGCAAAAAGTACGCCCTGCAGTAAATAAGAAACCCATATAGCATCTTCTGATTGCTGTCATACATAGCGGGCTTATTCATCTTGTATACCTTTCCAGCACCACTGGTAACTGCGGAGGTGGACTGCGCCTGCTGAGCCTGTTGGGCTAGCTGAGCCTGCTGAGCCTGTTGAGCTAGCTGGGCCTGCTGGTTAGCGATAGTAGCGCTTTGGGCCTGCTGTTGTTCGCGCAGGTCCTGGATACGCTGGATGAGCTGGTATACCTGGTTGACTAGTTCTTCCTGAGTAGGGGCGTGCAAGAACGAAGAAGTTTCTGGAGGAGCTATCGTATTCCGTATTGCTCAAGAAGTAATACTGAATCGTTCTTGAACAAGAGTTGTAAAAATGTAATGAGCACTGCAGCAATCCGAAGATTTCTAAGTATACGAAGGAGTTTATGCTAACAAGAGCAGTATTAAAGTATCAAGTTCTTGAATACGGAACTATACAAGTTCTAATAAGCAATGCAAGTGTTCACTGCCTTTGGAGCTACTCAGTATATGAAGACTGAATACTTAGATTCACAACTGAAGAGCTATGTACTGAATCCTTCTAATGGTAATAACCGTGTTCTTATATATCCAGCTCTTCAGTATAGATCACTGTCTGGCAGCGTCTCGCGGATCACCGCAGTAATCCGGGTGAGCCTAATGAGCCGCGCTCCTGGTGCTCCTAGTGATCCATCCCTGTCTCCTTCCTAGGTTATATAATCAATGCTTTATCAGAACGTTGGGTTCTTAACACCTGGTCCTTGTTGCTCGTAACCTGTTTCGTGACCTGCATGTTGGATGAGTCATAACAACAAGACTCAGTTTACTAAGAAATCTGAGAAAGTTATCCTTGCAGAAACCCGTCTCGAAAAGAATGCTCTCATTTAGTACAAGCCTTCTCTACGCAACCACTTGGAACATTAGAACAACTCCGATATATATACCCAGAGTATCAAGAATATGTTTGATTCTTTTGAAAGCTTCGAGAAAGCTCTCAAGAAAATCTTTAATAATCCTAACGAAGAATGCATTACAGCTCAGCAGCTTATGAACCTCAAGCAGATCAAATCAGCTTCTGCTTATACAGTTAGATTCAAGCAGCTCTCAGCGCAACTTCCGTAGAAAGATAAGAATCTCATGAAACATTATTATAAGGAATTCAAGAACGATGTTAAAGATGAAATCTTCAAGCAGAATTAGCTAGAAAACTTTGCAATATTCTCTAATCAAGCAATCTGCATCAACAACTATCTATACGAATAATAAGTAGAGAAATTCAAGAAAGAAGAAAGCTAGACTTGAAAGTTTCCGGCTAATACAAGCAAGAAACTCCAAAACAAGAATAGCAGTCAATATAGCAGTATAGCTCAGAGCGATACTATGCATGCTGATCCCATAGAACTCAATGCAGCTAACAAGCAGTATAGCAAGAAGAATAATATTACTTGCTACAATTGCAACAAACAAGAATACATTGCATGCAATTGCTATTAATCCCAAAAGAACAAATAGCAACTAGTTCAGGAAGAATGCTAGGTGAATATTGCTTAACAATAGGAATCCAATCAACTAAGCAAAAACACTTCTTTGGAGCAAGTATCGGACTCTGTTAATTATAGAAGCCTCAGCTGGATATTCTGCTATAACAACAACTGCTTAATACACCTCTCGAGTAAGGAGAGTTCAGGATAGTTTCCCTAGAAGCTTCAGCGCTGCAGATAAATAGCAACAGCAGGGCGAGAGTGCACGCTCAGCACCCCCATGAGTAGCAACTCGAATTGCTCTGATATTGCGGAATATAGCATTCAGATATTGAAAGAAGAGCTTAGCAATAATACTCTTCAGCAGTCTTTATCGCTTACGCCAAGCACTATGATCAGAGACATGAATAAGGGATGATATCCTCTTGGTTATTAGTATGAATACCTAAACGATACCGAAAATGCTTCTCAAGCAACGGAAAAATCAAGCCAGAACGAACAATCTAACGATTCACCGGAGTTTCCCATAAACAATGAACCCAAGAAGCTTACAGGAAGGTTCTCCTTCAGCATTGGATAAAATAAGGAAACAATATGGATTGAATATCTCGTCTATGAGATAGGATTAGAGAAGCTCTTTATCTGCATTCCCTTGCAAGATATTGAGGCACAATAAGACGAAGATTCTCGGATTGGTTCACTTTACAACCTATACTACGAACTAGCTTGAATCTTCTGCATCTATCATAGCTGCAGAATGCATTTCTCGGAGAAGATGTAATACGAATAGTTCCCTGTTAGAGAACCAGAACAAATCCTTCAGGCTGTTAAAGAACCAGAACTCCGCTTTAGAGAGATTCTCAACAGGCAACACTACAATGCATACATCAAGCTATCGGATAATTGCTCCATGCAATACATAGATAAAAAGATGGAGTGATGGCAATGCAAGACAACACTCTGCACAATTCACATTAATAATAAAGCTTGCAACTAGTATCAACAGAAGAAAGATCAGAAATAATGATAATATGAGCAAAAACAAGCTAAGAAGCTCGCTTAAGAAGCAGCAAAGCAAGCTCAGAAGAACAAACAGTTCTCAACAAACTCAAAAGAATAGGATTGCTTGTAAAAGGACTGCAGATGATCAGATCAGAACAGTCCCTATATAAAGCTTCTAGAACAGATTATGCTCACATCAAGTTCAACATATATATTCAAGGATACAAGTACAGCGCACTATTGAACAGTAGCGCTCAGAGAAACTTCATATCCCCACACATCATCAATCAGGCACAACTACAATGGAGACGGAAGAGATGCCCATACACCCTCAGTACCATGGAAGAACAACCTGTTGTATACAACCAAGGAGTAATTGATAAGAAGACTGATCATCTACCTGTTTTAATCCAAGAATATGTAATCAGAGCTTTCTTTGATATTACGGATATAGCACAGCATGAGCTGATTATGAAGCTTCCATAGCTCAAAGAATACAATTCTCGAATCGATTGAACTACTGGCCAGATCTCATGGGAACAAGCTGTACCCAGAGAGATAGTCGCAATCAACAGCGCAGGATCGAAGCTAGTTATCGAAGAACACTCGGGAAAAGAAGCTTCGAACAACTTCACACATACCTCCAAGTCAGCAGGGCTGGCAGTTCAAGGAGAAGGACCTAGTAACAAGCGAACCCAAACAGTGCCAGAGCGCCAACAGATTAGCAAAACAACAGAAGCGAGACCCTCAGCAAGTCGGTTCGCCCCGGAGCGACAAGGAAAAGCTTCAGAAAGTGAATTGTGAATCCACACAGGGAAAACCTCGGAACAAGGCCCTCGAGCGCTCGGTCCGGCCCGGAGCGAACGCTCAAGGTCCTCGAAAACGCTATCGGAAAAGAAGCACGCTCAACAGTACCTACTGTTCCTCCAGGTAGTAGAAATAACACAAGGACTAGAATCAACACTTGCGAACATACTACGAGAATATCACAAGTTTAAGAAACTATTTCAGAGAGAATTGAATACGGGATTGCTCGAATACAGCTTATACAATTATGAAATCCTGCTATAAGAAGGAAAACAGCCCAAATTCTTCCCCATCTATAGGCTAAATAAGGCATAACTAGAAGCACTTAGGGAGTATCTCGACGAGAATCTCAAAAAGGGATACATACAACCATCCTACTTATCAGCAGAATACTCCATCCTGTTTGTATCTAAGAAAAACAGCAAGCTCAAGCTATATGTTGATTACAAGCAACTCAATAATATTATAATCAAGAACTAATATCCGTTGCTACTCATCAAGGAACTACGAGATAGGTTGCAAGGAGTATAGTGATTCATAGTTCTGAATCTAAAAGAAGCTTATAATCTGATCAGAGTAAAGAAAGGAGAAGAATGGAAAACTGCTTTCAGAATACGCTATGAATACTACGAATATTTAATTATGCTCTTTAGTCTAACAAATGCCTCAGCTTCATTCCAGGAAATGATCAATCATATTCTACGCAAGCATCTGGATCAGTTCATCATTGCCTATCTCAACAACATTCTTATCTACTCTCGAATACTTGAAGAATATAAGAAAAATGTGGAAACAGTATTGCAAACGCTCCAAGATGCAAAACTCCTTATAGAACCCGCAAAAAGTTACTTTTACATACAAAAGATCGACTATCTCGGATTTACAATTGAGTCAGAATGCATTAAGCTATAGAAAAACAAGATAGAAGCTATTAGAAATTAGCTAGTTCTCAGGAATGTTAGAGATATTAGATCTTTCCTCGAATATATCAATTTCTATAAGCAGTTTATTAAGAACTATAGCTGGATCGCATATCCTCTTACAAATCTCACCAAAAAGAAGCAGCCCTTCGAATGAACTCTCAAGGCACAAGAAGCTTTCAATAAAATCATTGAGCATATTATCTCAGAGCCAATTCTATATAAAACAGATTCTTATAAACTCTTTGAAATTAAGACTAATGCATCAGAATATGTACTTGGAGAACAACTTAGCTAACAAGACAACCAAGGGCATCTAAGGATTATAAGCAACTTCTTAAAAAAGTTAAATAGCTCGGAAATTAACTATAGAATCCCTGATCAGAAGCTTATAGCAATAGTGAAAGCCTTCGAGGAGTAGCAATACTATCTCATTAGCGCACAATACTTAATTATAGTTTACTCGGATTACAAGAATCTGATTATGTTCATAACAATCAAGGTTTTGAATAAGCAACAAGTTAGATAAGCAGAATTCCTCTTACAGTTCGACTTTAAGATTATGTACTGCAAAGGCTTAGAGAATGAACGAGCAAATGCTCTCAGCAGAAGATCAGACCATTGAGATGCAGATTCTTCGAATATATAGAACATCTTCGCTCAGAATGAATCAGGAAATCTCGTTAATGCATATAGAGAACTGAACGCTGCTCTCAGAATAGAATTCTCGGAAAAGAATCCAGAATCAATAACTCCAGACGAACAAAACAGCTATATCAAGAATGTATACAGTGCATCAGCATACAGATATCAGAGAGTTAGAGCAACTTATAAATGCATCAAAAGATACTGGAATCCATTAAGCTTTAGGAAAAGAATTAAGAACATCCTATAACAATGCAATAGCTGCAAGAAAAACAAGGCAGAAAGATATAAGCTTTATAAGCTACTGCATCCCTTACCAGTATCTACAACTGTTTAGCAATCTATTAGTCTAAACTTTATTATTAAGCTATTTCTTTTATAAGAACTCTTAACTAAGATGCAATACAATAGCATTCTAGTAGTGATTTGCAGACTGAGCAAGTATACTTATTTTCTTCCCTATAAGAAAAGCAGTATAGCAGAGAAACTTGCATATACATTCCTCAGAATAATCATTGCTAATCACAGTATATCAGAAGAAGTAATCTCTGATAGAAATAGGAAGTTCAATTCAAAGTTTTGAACTTCACTTATAAAACAGCTTGAAATATATTACAGAATGTTCACAGTATTTCATTTACAAACAGATGAACAAACAAAAAGAATAAATCAAGTTATTGAACAATATCTTCAATATTATATCAATCAGAAACAGAACAACTGAATTAATCTATTGCTTTTCGCACAGTTTGCTTATAATAGCGCAGATATAAGTATAATAAAGAAGTTATCATTCTTCATACTCTATAAATATAATCCAATAGCTTATTACGAAGTACTGCAAGAAGCAGATGCAGAAGCTGCAAACAAAAGAGTTAAGAAGATCAAGAAAGTTCAGAAGAAACTCTGATCAGAACTACAATTCATCCAGAAACGAATAGTACAATATACAAACTCCAAGAGAATTGAGAAACCAACCCTACAGAAGGGAGATAAGATCTACCTACTTCGGAAAAACATCAAAACAACTAAACTCAGCAACAAACTCGATCATAAGAAGTTAGAACTATTCAAAATCTTGCAGCAGATTTCTCTGATCAACTATGAGTTAGCATTATCTTATAGAATAAGGATACATCTAGTCTTTCACATTTCACTGCTGAAACCAGCAGCACAGGAAATACTAACAGATAATACAATAGAAGTGGAAAATAATGAACCAGAGTACAAGATAGAGAAGATCCTCAAGCACAGAGGCACAGATAACACAAGGGAATATCTCATCAAATGGAAAGGTTACCCAACAAGCGAAAATTCTTGGGAACCGCAGAAAAACGTTAAAAATGCTCAGGAAAAGATAGCTGAATATTGGAAAAGGAAAACCAGCACCTAAGAGGATCGCTCCGCCCCGGACCGAGACCCAGAGCCCTCAGAGATCTCATTCTCCAAGAAACCCGATCAGTCAACCACAGAATTCCTCAGATCCACAGAATTCCAGTCAAAACTCTCAAAAGAAGAATCTCCAGCTACAACAGCAGATTCCTCAGCTACCACAGCCTGCACTTCAGCAGCAACACGCACCCTCTCAGCTTCAGCCTCCTCAGCTTCCTCTTTCTCAAGCTCTTCGAGGTTCTTGAGATCTCGACGAATAGCCCGAGACATCCTCTCATGCCACATCTTCTTTTGTTGATGCAGCCGAAGCAACTTTAACTCTAACTCTTCTATCTCATCCTCCAGCTTTCGATGCTGAGTGGAGGTAAGAAGGAGTTCAGCAGCGTTCATCAGCTCCAGAACGTCGCACTTAGCGCAATTCTGGGAAACGCACTCCGAACAACGGAATGAATCGTAAGGAGAAACGATACACGATTGCAGGCCTCGACTGTCGCAATAAGAACAGGGATGCATATCGAAACCGTTTGAAAGAATGGACTGAAGAAGGAGATCTTTCTGCTTCTTTTTGTCGGAGCGAGGATTTGAGGATTTCGGTTTCGCGATTTTGTTGATTCTGTTCAGCATCTCGATTAGAAAGGCAAGATCATGAATACGGAGACTTGCTAGAATACTTACAGAAGATCGTTGGGAACAACGACTGATAGGAGGGAGATGATATTATGACTCATCCAACATGCAAGTCACGAGTAACAAGGACCAGGTGTCAAGAACCCAACGTTCTGACAAAGCATTGATTACATAACCCAGGGTTAGGGTTGTAAAGAAGGGAGGATCATTGGGCTCGCTAGCGATCCCAACGAGCTTCACACCTTGGATCGCTAGGCTCGCCAGCGATCCCAACGAGCTGTACTGAAGAGCTGGATATATAAGGACACGTTCATTACTATCAGATGGATTCAGTATATAGCTCTTCAGTTGTCAATCTAAGTATTCAGTTTCATATACTGAGTAGCCCCAAAGGCAGTGAACACTTGCATCGCTCATCAGGACTTGTACGGTTCCGTATTCAAGGACTTAACACTTTGATACCGCTCTTGTTAGCATAAACCCCTTCGTATACTTAGGAATCTTCGGATTGCTGCAGTGCTCATTACATAATTTCTAACAGCTTCTATCTTATCTTTCTGTAGCTTAATATATTCTAGTTTGATTATGAATTCGAGATAGTTAACTTTTTATACATGAAAATAATTCTTTACAGTTTCTATAAGAAGTTTTGCATTCTGAAGTATTTGCAATACTGTTTCCATATATTTCTTGTATTTCTCTAGTATTTGAAAGAAAATAAGAATATTGTTGAGATATGCAATAATAAACTAATTTAAATGCTTATATAGAATATGATTGATTATTTCTTGAAATGAAGCTGGAATATTTGTTAAATTGAAAAGCATAATTAAATACTTATAGTATCTATAGCATATTCTGAAAGCAGTTTTCCATTCTTCTTTTTTCTTTACTCTGATTAGATTATAAGCTTCTTTCAGATTCAGAGCTGTAAATCACTATACTTCTTGCAATCTATCTTATAGTTTCTTAATAAGTAGCAATGAATATTAATTCTTGATTGTAATATTATTAAGTTACTTATAATTAATATATAGCTTAAGCTTGCTATTTTTCTTAAATACAAACAGAATAGGATATTCTGCTAATAATCTTAATAATTATATATATCCCTTTTTGAGATTCTTATTAAGATACTTCTTAAGCGCTTCTAGTTATGCTTTATTTAGTTTGTAAATAGAGAAGAACTTGAGCTGTTTTCCTTCTTATAGTGGGATCTTGTGGTTGTATGAGCTGTATTCTAGCAGTTTCATATCTAATTCTTCCTGGAATAGTTTCTTGAACTTGTAGTATTCTTGTAGTATGTTTGCAAGTATTGGTTCTGGTTTATGTGCTGTTTCTGCTATCTGGAGGAATAGTAGATACTGTTGAGCATGCTTCTTTTCTGTTAGCGCTTCTGAGGGCTTTAAGCGTTCGCTTCAAGCCGAACTAAGCGCTTGAGAGCTTAGTTTCGAGATTTTTCCTATATGGATCCGCAATCCACATTCTGAAGCTTTTCTTTATTGCTCCGGAGCGGACTATCTCACTGAGAATCTCACTTTCATTGTTTTGCTAATCTGTTAGCGCTCTAGCACTATTTGGATTTGCTTGTTACTAGATTCTTCTTCTTGAGCTGCTAGCTCTGCTGATTTAAAAGTATATATAAAGTTATTTGAAGCTTCTTTTCCCGAGTATTCTTCAATAACTAGCTTCGATTCTGCATTATTAATTGCAATTATTTCTCTGGGTATAGCTTGTTCTCATGAGATCTAGCTAGTAGTTCAATTGATTCGAGAATTGTACTCCTTAAGCTATGGAAGTTTCATAATCAGCTTATGCTATACTGTATCTGTAATGTTAAAGGAAACTCTGGTTATATATTCTTGGATTAAGATAGATAAATAATCAGTCTTCTTATTGATTACTTCTTGGTTGTATGCAATAGATTGTTCTTTTACAGTGCTGAGAATATATAGTTGCTTCTTTCATTTTTATTGTAGTTGTATCTGGTTAATAATGTATAGAAATATGAAGTTTCCTTAAGTGCTACTATTCAATAGTACGCTGTATTTATATTCTTGAATGTATGTATCGAACTTGATATAAGTATAGTTTGCTTTGAAAGCTTTATATAGGGACTATTTCAGTCTAATCGTCTGCAGTTTCTTTACAAACAATCCTGTTCTTTTAAGGTTGTTAAGAGCTGTTTGTCCTTCTTCTAAGCTTGCTTTGCTGCTTTCTAAGCAAGCTTTTTAGCTTGTTTTTGCTCATATCATCATTATTCCTAATCTTTCTTCTATTAATACTAGTTACAAATCTTATTATTAATATAAATTATACAGAATATCATCTTGCACTGCTACTATTCTATTTTCTTATTCATACATTGTATAGAACAGTTATTTAGTAATCCGATGTATACATTATAGTACTGCTTATTAAATACTTCCCTGAAGCGAAGCTCTTACTTCTCAACAGTCTGAAGGATTTGTCCTAGTTCTCTAACAGAAAACCATTCATATTGCATCTTCTTCAAGAAATGCATTCTGCAACTATAATAAGCATAAGAGATCTATACTAGTTCGTAATATAGATTGTAAAGTAAGCTGATTCGAGAATTCTTATCTTATCATGCTTCAATATTTTGCAAGGGAATGCAGATGAAGAGCTTCTCTAGCTCTATTCCATAGATGAGATATTCAATTCATGTTATTTCCTTGTTCTACTCAATGCTGAAGGGAAATCTTCCTGTAAGCTTATTGGATTCATTATTCATGAGAGATCCTAGTAGATCGCTAAATCGTTCGTCTTAGCTAGTTTCTTCTGTTGCTTAGGAAGCATTTTTGGTATTATCTAGATACTTATACTAATAGCTAAGAGAATACCATTCTTTATTCATATCCCTAGCTATAATACTTAGCATAAGTAACAAGGAATGATGAAGAGTATTACTGCTGAATTGTAATGAGCACTGCAGCAATCCGAAGATTCCTAAGTACACGAAGGGGTTTATGCTAACAAGAGCGATGTCGAGGTATCAAGTCCTTGAATACGGAACCGTACAAGTCTTAATAAGCGATGCAAGTTGTCAGGGCCGATTGTGCCAGCAAGGCTCAGAGCCAGCTAAGCCAGCTGGATTACGGATGACTAAGCAATATGCGGCTATAAAGCGGCTTTCTAGCCACGTCAGCACTGCTGAGCAGAACTTAGCTCCTTAGGCCTCAATGTTATTCTAGTTGTATACTCCTGAAAGAGAGAAAAGACCTCGCCACATTGCCTTTGCAACCTTTCCACCTGACACAAGTGTTCACTGCCTTTGGGGCTACTCAGTGTATAAGACTGAATACTTAGATTGACAACTGAAGAGCTATGTACTGAATCTATCTAATGGTAATGATCGTGTCCTTATATATCCGGCTCTTCAGTATGGCTCACTGTCTGGCAGTGCTCCACGGATCACCGCGGTGATCCGGGTGAGCCTGGTGAGCCGTGCTCCTGGTGCTCCTGGTGATCCACCCCTGTATCTTTTCTCCTGGGTTATGTAATCAATGCTTTGTTAGAACGTCGGGTTCTTGACATCTGGTTCTTATTGCTCGTGACCTGTTCCGTAACCTGCATGTTGGATGGGTTATAACATCATCTCCCTCCTATCAGTCGTTGTTCTCAACGATCTTCCTGTAAGTATCCTAGCAAGTCTTCTGTACATGATCTTGCCTTCCTAATTGAGATGTTGAACAGGGTCGAAAAATCTTTTTCCAAGAAAACTGAATAGCGTAACCATCTTTTCCTAGCTGTTGATTAGTTTGGTTTCAAGGTTATGCCTTGCACTGCTTGTGCTTCCTGGGGCCTGGTAAGCAAAATGATGGATAGTGCAAAGCGTTGTTCTCAGTATATCTGTTGTACTCGTTCTTGTGATGGCTGTAGGGTTCCTGTTTCTGCTCGTAAGTGCTCTTTCTCCTCTTCTCCCTCTCTTGCTAATGTTCCCCTTCTTTCCTTAGTTTCGCGCATTATAGCAGAGGATAAGAAGTTGGAATCGAAGGAGCGGGAGGCGGAGGTAGAGCTGGAGGCAGCTCATCGCCGAGCGTTGAAGGTCCTTAATAAAGCTCGCGCGAAGATCTCAGAGTCCGCTGCCCGTCTTGCTCGTCTGCGCACCCAGCATAGATCTCTTGCTTCCCGAGGCGCTCAGATGGTAAATGCGGGCCTTGAGTTCCTTAATGAGCTGGATGAGCAGGAACGTCGCGAGGAGAAGGAACATAACCTCGCCACATTGGTTCGCGAGGTGGTATCAGCTGAGAGCATTTTGGCTGAGGATCCCTTGTTCGATGGGTTTAACTGAAACTCTATTAACCCTAGCGGGGCTGTAGTGGATTATTCTGGATTTTTGGAGAGCGAGGTTTCTAAGCCTCGGTCCGGGGCGGAGCGATCGTCCTAGGTGCTGATTTCTTTCCTCTTTCAATACTCAGCTATCTTCTCCTAAGCGTTTTTGACATTCTTCCGTGGCTCTCATGAATTTTCACTTGCTGGGTAACCTTTCCACTTGATGAGGTATTCCCTTGTGTTGTTTGTGCCTCTGTGCTTGAGAATCTTCTCTACCTCATATTCTAGTTCGTTGTTTTCCACTTCTGCTATATTATCCATTAGTATCTCTTTTGCTGCTGATTCCAGCAGTGAGATGTGAAAGACTGAATGTATCCTCATTCTATAAGATAATGCTAATTCGTAGTTAACTGAGGAAATTTGTTGCAAGATTTTGAATAATCCTAGCTTCTTATAATCAAATTTGCTGCTAAGCCTGGTTGTTTTGATGTTTTTCCAAAGTAGATAAGCTTTATCTTCCTTCTGTAGGATTGATTTCTTAATCCTTTTTGAGTTTGCGTACTATATCATTTGTTCCTGAATGAACTGTAATTCTGATTGGAGCTCCTTCTGAACTTTTTTAATTCTCTTAATTCTTTTATCTGCAGCTTCTGCATCTGCTTCTAGCAGTGCTTTATAATAAGCTATTAGATTGTATTTGTAGAGCGCGAAGAATAATGATTTCTTTATTATACTTATATCTGCGCTATTATAAGCAAACTATGCAAGAAGCAATAAATCAATCCAGTTATTCTATTTCTGGTTAATATAGTATTGAAAATACTGTTCAACAATCTGATTCATTCTTTTTATTTATTCATCTATTTACAAGTGAAATGCTATAGATATTCTGTAGTATATTCCAAGCTGTTTTATAAGCGAAGTTTAAAATTTCGAGTTAAACTTTCTATTTCTATCAGAGATTACTTTCTCTAATATGCTGTAATTAGCGATAATTGTTCTAAGGAACATATATGCAAGTTCTTCTGCTATACTGCTTTCCTTATAGAGAAGAAAATAAATATATTTGCTTAATCTGCAAATTATTACTAGAATGCTATCATATTGCATCTTAGTTAAGGATTCTCATAAGAAAGATAGCTTGATAATAAAGTTTAAACTAATGAATTGCTAAATAGTTATAAGTATTAGTAAGGAGTACAGTAGTTTATAAAGCTTGTATCTCTCTATCTTGTTCTTCTTGCAGCTATTGCATTATTATAGAATGTTCTCAATTCTTTTTCTAAAGCTTAGTAAGCTCTAGTGCTTTCTGATGCATTTATAGATTGCTCTAACTCTCTGATGCCTATATGCTGATGCACTATATACATCTCTGATATAATCATTTTATTCATTTAGAGTTATTGATTCTGAGTTCTTCTCTAAAGATTCAATTCTAAAGATAGCATTCAGTTCTTTATATATATTGATAAGATTTCCTGATTCGTTTTGAGCAAAGATGTTCTGTATATCCGAGAAGTCTGCATTTCGATAATCTGCTCTCCTGCTTAAAGCATCTGCTCATCCGTTTTCTGAGCTTTTGCAGTATACAATTTTGAAATCGAACTATAAGAAAAATTCTGCTTATCTAACTTATTGCTTGTTCAAGACTTTGATTATTATGAATGTAATCAGGTTTTTGTAATCCGAGTAAACTATAATCGAATGCTGTATGCTGATGAAGTAGTGCTGCCATTTCTCGAAGGCTTTTACTATTGCTATAAGCTTCTGATCAGAGATTCTGTAGTTGACTTTTAAGCTGTTCAACTTCTTCAAGAAGTTGCTTATAATTCTTAAATACTTCTGATTATCTTATTAACTAAGTTATCTCTTGAGTATATATCCCGATATATTGGTTTTAACTTCAAAAGGTTTATAGAGATCTGCTTTATATAGAATTGGTTCTGAGATAATATGCTTGATAATCTTATTAAAGGCTTCTTGTGCTTCGGAAGTTTATTCGAAGAGCTGCTTCTTCTTGATAAGATTAGTAAGAAGATATGCAATCTAGCTGTAGTTTTTAATGAACTGCTTATAAAAGTTGATATATCTAAGAAAAAACTTAATATTCCTAATATTCCTGGAAATTAGCTAGTTTCTAACAGCTTTTATCTTATCTTTTTATAGCTTGATGCATTCTAGCTTAATTGTGAATTCTAGATAGTTAACTTTCTATATATGAAAGTGATTCTTTATAAGTTTTACAAGAAGTTTCGCATCTTGAAGCATCTGCAATACTATTTCTACATATTTTTTGTATTCTTCCAATATTCAAGAGAAAATAAGAATATTATTGAGATAAGCAATGATAAACTGATTTAGATGCTTGCATAAAATATGATTAATCATTTCTTGAAACAAAGCTGAAGCATTTGTTAAACTAAAGAGCATAACTAAATATTCATAGTATCTATAGCATATTCTGAAAGCAGTTTTCCATTCTTCTTCTTTCTTTACTCTAATCAGATTGTAAGCTTCTTTTAAATCTAGAACTATAAATTACTATGCTTCTTGCAATCTATCTTATAATTTCTTAATAAGTAGTAATAAATATTAGTTTTTAATAGTAATATTATTAAATTGCTTATAATTAATATATAGCTTAAGCTTACTATTCTTCTTGAGTATAAACAGAATAGGATATTCTGCTGATAATTATAATAATTATATATATTCCTTCTTAAGATTTTCATCGAGATACTCCCTGAGTGCTTCTAATCATGCTTTGTTTAGTCTGTAAATAGGGAAGAATTTGAGCTGTTTTCCTTCTTGTAGCAGGATCTTGTAATTGTATGAGCTGTATTCTGATAATCCTGTATTCAATTCTTTCTGAAATAGTTTCTTGAATTTGTGATATTCTTATAGTATGTTTGCGAGTGTTGGTTCTGGTTTCTGTGCTGTTTCTGCTATCTGGAGGAACAGTAGGTACTGTTGAGCATGCTTCTTTTCGTTCATTGTTTTTGGTGATGTTTTTGGAAGCTTTGAGCGTTCGCTCCGGGCTGAACCGAGCGCTCGAGGGCCTAGCTTCGAGGTTTTTCCTATGTGGATTTACAATTCACTTTCTGAAGCTTTTCCTTGTCGCTCCGGAGCGGACCGACTTGCTGAGAGCCTCGCTTCCGTTATTTTGCTAACCTGTTAGCGCTCTGATATTATTTGGATTCGCTTGTCACTAAGTCCTTCTCCTTGAATTGCTAGCCCTGCTGACTTGAAAGTATGTATAAAGTTGTATAAAGCTTCTTTTCCTGAGTATTCTTCAATAACTAGCTTCGATTCTGTGCTATTGATTGCAATTATCTCTCTGGGCATAGCTTGTTCTTATGAGATCTAGCTAGTAGTTTAATTGATTCGAGAATTATGCTTTTTGAGCTATAGAAGTTCTATAATCAGCTTATGCTGCGCTGTATCCGTGATATCAAAAGAAACTCTGATTGCATGTTCTTGGATCGAGATAGATAGATAATTAGTTTTCTTATTGATTACTTCTTGGTTGTATGCAACAGGTTGTTCTTCTACAGTGCTAAGAGTATATGATTGCTTCTTCCATTTCCATTATAGTTATGCCTGATTGATAATGTATGGGAATATGAAGTTTCTCTGAGTATTATTATCTAATAGTGCGCTGTATCTGTGTTCTTGAATGTATATATTAAACTTGATGTGAGCATATTCTGCTCTAGAAGCTTTATATAGGAACTGTTTCAGTCTAATTATCTGCAATTCTTTTGTAAGCAATCCTGTTCTTTTAGATTTATTAAGAACTGCTTATTCTTCTAAGCCTGCTTTGCTACTTCTTGAGCAAGCTTCTTAGCTTGCTCTTATCTATATCATCATTATTTCTAATCTTTCTTCTGTTAATACCAGTTGCAAACTTTGTTATTAATATGAATTGTACAGAGTATTATCTTGCACTGCTACTACTCTATTTTCTTATCTACATACTGCATAGAGCAATCATCTAATAGCCCGATGTATGCATTGTAGTATTGCTTGTTGAAAACTTCCCTGAAGCAGAGTTTCTGTTCTTTAACAGCCTGGAGAATCTATTCTAGTTCCCTAACAGGAAATCATTCGTGCTGCACTTTTTCCGAGAAATGCATTCTACAGCTATAATAAGCATAAGAGATTCATGCTAGCTCGTGATATAGATTGTAAAGTAAGCTGATTCAAGGATCCTTGTCTTATTGTGCTTCGATATCTTGTAAGGGGATGCAGATGAAGAGCTTCTTTAGTTCTATTCTATTGTTATGACCCATCCAACATGCAGGTCACCAGCCAAGACACCCGGAACAACTATCCGGAAAAACAGGGAAGGATTCAACATCTCAAGAACTAAGGCTTACATAAGCAAGGGTTAGGATTACAGGATCAGAATGGATCAGTAGCTGATCCATGGTGATCCGGATCAGTTGGATCACCCAGGTGATCCAAGAGATCCAACAACCAACACTACTAACAGAATTGAAGAGCTGGATATATAAGAACACGTTCATTCCCATTAGATAGGTCTCGTATATAGCTCTTCAGTTGTCAATCTAAGTATTCAGTTTCAAATACTGAGTAGCTTCAAAAGCAGTGAATACTTGCATCGCTTATCAAGACTTGTATGGTTCCGTATTCAAGAACTTGATACTTTGATACCGCTCTTGTTAGCATAAACCTCTTCGTATATTTAGGAATCTTCGGATTGCTGCAGTACTCATTACATTTTGACAACTCTTGTTCAAGAACGATTCAGTGTTATCTTCTTGAGCAATACGGAATACGATAGCTTCCCCAGGAATCTCTTCATCCTCGTGCGCCCCTACTCAGGAAGAACTGATTAATCAGGTGTATCAGCTTATCCAGCATATCCAGAACCTGTGCGAACAATAGCAGGCTCAGAGCGCTACTATTGCTAACTAGCAAGCTTAGCTAGCTCAATAGGCTCAGCAGGCGCAGTTCATCTCTGCAGTTACCAGTGGTGCTGAGAAGGCATACAAG